CAATATTTTTTTTTAAGCTTAATAATACTATTTGTAAAAATATAGCACATTATACTCAACAAAAACAAAAACAATGTAGTAATCCTAGTTGTTTAATTGAAAGACGTCAGGTATTTGTACTACATTTAATGTTGTTTTCAAGAAAATAATCTAATTTATTTTGTGATCAATAACTTTTTTTATTTGTATTTAACAAATCTCATTTGTCAAGTTTTTGATTTGATTTTGAATGTATTTTTTTTAAGTTTATTGGGTCTTATATAAGCAAATGTTTTAGTGCTCTTAGTGCTATAAGTCCCAACTCCTGATTATTACATAATAAATAAATAAATATGAATATGTACCTATCTAATTATATATTTTCAACAGATAATAAAGAAAAATCTGTCTTTTCGTTTACTATAAGAGACTCTCCAGAAGATGTAGTTAATATAAGTGTTTGGGGTTCTAATGATTATACTAGACGTTTATATAATGACTTTAAAATCGGAGATGTTGGTAAGTACAAAATAATATGCAATAAATAATTACAGTTAGTTTTTCAAATTATTTATTCATGTTTTCCAACAGTTGACTTGGTTAATTCAAATGTAACTTATAATATGGACATCAAAGATAAATATATGCCAAAAAGTTCTAGGTAAATATAGTATAAAAATAAACTTATGCTGAGTTGCATGAAGAATCACTAAACATTTAACGAATCAACAGTAAGCTAATGGTCTATTGAACTTGATTGGACCATCAAATTAATACATTTTCCATGCAACTCAGCATTAATGACTTAAATAATACTAATGTTGGCTTACTACAGGGCCATAGTTACAAGGAGGGTTTAGGGTTTTCAACCCCCCTCCCCTTTAACAAAGTAGAAAATTTAAAAATGTCTAGTATATTCTAAAATTTAAAATGTTAATTTAAATTTTTTTTTTTTAACTGAATAAATACTTAATATAATATTATTATAAATTTATAGTATAGTGCCTGTAGTGCATTGTGATAATTGATAAGAGTTTAAATAATAAAACCAATAGAGACAAATTAATTCCATTAATTGAATACATTTTAGTATGTGGTTTCAAGGAAATTCCTTAAGAGGCAGTATGAAAGAGGTATGGACCCTCCTAATAGAAAATAGCTACGGCCCTGGCTTACTAATGTGTATACCAACTCATCTAATTCTATTTTATTCRATATCTAGCTCATTCTATTTAACATTAAATGAAAGCTCATCTCAAATGTTGCTACATGATGTTCATGATTCTATGAAATATAAGTATCTTCTCAGAATTCCCACTTGTCCACAAAACATGTTTATTAATATTTATGATATCCATTCTAGTGGAAAAGAGATGAGTGGGAAATTGTGTTGTTTGTTGGTCGTAGTTAGATGTGTAAGTCATTTTAAGCCTGTTAAAAATGCAAAATTAAGGGGATTGGAAGCGGTGATTTTCTGTCTTTGTCTAACACACATGAAACATACAATACGCCTGATAAAAATTAAAGTACTGCTAGTTGCTCGATTTAAAATATGTAAAGATTTTTGAATTGGTATACAAGTTTACTTTGTATCGGTCAAAGCGTATTTTGAATATATTTAATAAAAAAAATTCACAAATTTATAAAATTTAAAATATTTATTCTTATCAAAATATTGCTACAATTGAAAAAGTACTTCGGCCGATGCAAAGTAAACTTGTATATCAATTAACACATCRTTACATATTTTAAATCAAAYAACTAGAAGTACCTTAATTTTTGTCAAGCGTATGTCCCACAGTGACATATGTCCCACGTATGTTAGACAAAGATAGAGAATCACCGCTTCCAATCCCCTTAAT